AGCTTCACGTCGAAGCTAAAAATTATAACATAACCAATCTTCACCTAAAATTTAAAACATGTTACTTTTTTTTTAATTCAAAATTAGAGTAAAAACAAGAAATTATGTATATTAAATCTTTAGCAATCAGAGCACGAATCATTTCATTTAAATCAGTATAGAAGTATATATGAAACAATATAATAGTTTAAAAATAGATTTAGTAATAAACCTAAATAAGTTATTTAATTTGACTGACCGTGTAAATTAATTTCAAAACCAAACAAAATTAGTGATTTTTTGTCTAAGAGTTTTCTTAGTCAGGAGTTCTAATTCATTACTAACATCTTTATAATCTAGTTAAATTTCTTTTAAGTACTATTTTCCTTAGGTAGGCCCGAGTTATTCGAATACATCAATGATAACTAAACATTCGCCTTTGCTTTTCTTAACCCAAATTAAAATAAATTGATTTTATATTAATTTGGGTTTTAGTTTTGTAGTGAGGTGTTAGATCAGTAGAGTATAATTAGGTTATGAAAAATGTAGATACATCGGTTTAAATTTATAACTGGTTGATTTTTTAACTTATTTGAATCTATTATTGTTTGCATAATTCACATAACATAGCTATTTGAATGTAAGATTACTTCAGTTACGATAATTTTATATTAAAATATAAGATCTTTTAACGATAAAAATGTGTTGAAGAGAATTTTACTTATTATTAAAAAACTGAAAAACACGCTTTTAAAGCATATCGANTTTTAAACGAATGAGTTTTAAGCTATTAGAAAAACTTAGTACTCCTTTTATTTGTCGATAATAATAAAAAATTACTGAAAACAAATTTTTATAAATACAAATTTAGTTATAAATTCAAAAAAATTGTGGAACAATTTATGAATCATCAAGCAGTTAAAATTATTATTATTATTAATTAAAGTTATTAAGAATGTAGATAAGTACATTAACTTTAAAATTTGTAATTGACCAACTTTTTCACTTATTTTTCCTATAATTTTTATTATATAGTTTTTGTAATCACACAACATAGCTATTTAGGTATAAAATTATTTGATTTAAGATAACTTATAATATAAAAATTTATATAATAAAGTAATGTAACATAGAAAAGTAACATAAAATAATAATAACAATAAGTTTATAAAACGTAAGAAAATGTTAGTAAGTATAAAAGTGTATTAACAAAAAAACCCAGCACAGGGGGGTCGCGGCACAGTGGTGACGTGGCATAGTTGGATCAAGTATAATGATATCTGACAGTGATTAAAATCACTATAAAAAAAAAACGCTTCGATGCAAATCTTTAGATAGTGTTTAATTTTAAAAAATTGGTGGATTATTCCAAAAGCTTCATAAACTGCTAGTTCCTTATTAATATCCTGATTAAGATAAAGTATGTCGAATGAAAAAGGGATTATTAAAAAATAGTATTTCCCATAAAAAAATTATATTGATCAATACACTTTTCAATAAGTTATAGCATTATAAAGTTAAAAATGTAAAAAATAAAATTGAGAATTTTCACACAATAATAGCATTTGGTAGCCATTTTCACTGTGAAGACAAAATAAAGTCCGAAATTTTTTTTTTACATAATAAAGTAGATTACATTAGCTTTAATTTAATATATATATAAAAGTGTCAGACTTTCCAGAACATTTTCAAAATTTAAGTTGAAAAAGTCAATTTTTTTTGAAAAAGTTGTCATTTTGAATCCCCCCCCTGTAGGCAGGTAAAAAGTCAGATTTATAAAAAAAATATACCAAATGATAGGTAAAGACATCATACATCTACAAAAAAAAGAATTATATTAATCCACACATCTTTCGAAAAGTTATAGCATTATAAAGTTAAAAATATAAAAAAGATATTTTATTTTTAGTTTAATGTCTGTTTTCACCATGAAGATAAAATAAAATCCGAAATTTTTTTTTACCATTATAAAGTATATTTTATTAGCTTTAATTTAAGATATATATAAAAGTGTTAGACTTTCCGAAACACTTTCAAAAGTTAAGTTGAAAAAGTTCTACTTTCTATATGCATTTTTATGTTTTGAATCCCTCCTGTATTAAGGGAAATGGTCCGATTTAAAAAAAAAGTGTGTCGAATGAAAGATCTATATAAATACTACATTTTTTCGGCTAGCTCGGCCATAAAAGGTCCACAATCACACCCAATAGTTTGACGAGTCGTCTCACCGATTTTTAAAGTCCATTTAAACTTCAAAACTAACTTTCGACTCTAAAAAATTAATGTTTTATAATAGTGTTTAATTGTTACGATAAACTAATGAAAGGTCAAATTTCAAAATAGAATTATTGAATATTTTTTATGCCTTTCTAATCTTTCTCCGATAAATTTTTTTTTTTTTTAATTTTGTCTTTTGGAGTTGTTAACTCCAGGAGTTGTTCTTTTACTCAACATTTTGTAGGTTGTAAATTAATTATTTTATCTTCTGGAGTTTCGTTTGTTCTTTCAGTGGACACGTCAGGTAGTGTAACGTCATTTGAAGTTATTGAAGGTTCATTATTAGCTTCTAACTCTTTATTATAAAATAATTGTTGCAATAATCGAAATGTAGGTTAAATATTTTTATATACTTTTAATGACTTCATCATGTTCTCCAGATAAGGTACTTTCTATGTGAGGACGACCAGTATCATTGGAGGATACTTCAACGGGCTGATTTTTTTCTTCGCATTTATTGCGATTCAAGTAATTCTCATGAAGACTCTTAACGAAACATAAGAACATAATAAATTATACGATAAACTTTAGTTAATTTATTTAAAAAATCTACCTTAAGTCAAGGAAATGTTTAGGGTACATATACCATATTTAGGCTATTTTTTTAGCCTTTATTATCAATGGTAATAAGACACATTGTTGTGAGTTTATAAACACACTAACTGGCAATATAGAAATTATATCCATTACTAGTGATAATTGACAATAAACTCTCCGTGACTGTAACAGCGATGTCATAAAAAACTAAAAAGTGAAAAATAAATATAGTTTAAAAAAACTAAAAAACACGCTTTTAATGCATATCGAACTAAAAAGTTAGAAATAATTCTGAAAATAAGCTTAAAACAATAATGAACGAAAAATATTAGTATTATTGTGAAAAAAAGGGTGAGGGCTTTGAGCTATAATTTTCGAATATTGAGCGCTCGACACTATTTTTCCCAATCATATNTTCGTATATTGAGCGCTCGACACTATTTTTCCCAATCATATTAGTATTTTTCGTTCATTATTGTTTTAAGCTTATTTTCAAAATTATTTTTAACTTTTTAGTTCGATATGCTTTAAAAGCGTGTTTTTTAGTTTTTTTAAGCTATATTTATTAGTTATATAGAAAAATATGACTGATATTTTATTCAAATAATTATATGAATTGTAAAATTATATATATATATGTATGAGTAACATTTTTCTTATGATTCATTAAAAATTTTCATTTATAGTATATTTTTTGGAAGTGAATTGTACGACCAGACGCAGAAACTAAAATAAAAATTAATTTAGACATATTTTTGTCATACTGTCTTGTTTTTTAAACAGTTATATTGATTTTGGTTAATCGATTTGATTCATTTAGTACAAAACAAAACGAGTATTTATATAAAATAATGCCATTAAGAAGTGATCATAAATTATTTTTCAACTTGATATTTTTTTTTGCAAAAAACTGTTAAGAAAATTATATTTTTTTCAAAAGCAATACATTTTGAATAAAATAAAATTTATTTTTCGTAAATTAATTCAAATTATAATGTTTAAATACAAATTTATTTATATTTTATGTTGTAAATGAGGTATTCAAAACATTTCCAATAAATATCTGTCTTGAGTTTATTCATATTATGAATTAAAATAAAAAATACTTAGTTTTACACAAAAAATAGACGTTACAATAAAATCATAACAATTAATCGTGACAAGCGCCACAATCATCAAAGACACTAAATTTGCTTATTTGATTTAAATTAAAGTAACGTTTTATATTTTACGTTCTTAAAAAAAAGTAAACTTATTAGAAACGGCGTACCTAGGCAAAATAACTGCCATGGTCATTTATGATCTGACATTTTATTTGTAGTTCTATTTTATTACTATAAGTAAAGTGTTCTAATTTATGGTATTTTAAGTTTTAAAATCCAATAATTCAAATAATTTTGTAAAAATTAATTTATGACTAATTGAAAACAACTAAAAGTTTGTTAAAAAGAAACTTCAAATGTAGAATACAGATAAAAATAATAATAAATATTTGCATTTGAATTTCACAGGAGTTTTAAAAAAATTGTAAATATTTCATTTAAATATGTAAAGAGAAATTGATGAGTCAAAATGTTTTTATATTATTTCATTAGGAAAGAGGGTATTGGTTGTAGACGTTAACTATGAGATCAATGGTACTCATTGCGGACAAACGTTGCAGACTTGTAATTCAAAATAACACATTTTGATAAACAATTGTTTTAATTGTTGGCCAATTAAAAAATGTTTTGTTATATTAATTGGCTTAAATAATATGATTTTTTTTTGTATAAATAGGATAAAAAATGCTGTTTAAATCGACACCGTTTGGTGATTTTTGCTTAAGTTATTTTTTGTGATAAATGAGTACGTATATTCATTAAACAATTTAACTGTTACATTTTTTTCTAAGTATAACTAAATTTTTTTAAGTTTTTTGTATATATATTTATAAAAAAATATGGAATCGCATTTGTTTTTCGTGATAACGACGTTAGCGATATATTTTATAATTCCATTTCAAGTTATCAGAGATATTATGTTTATTGCATTGGCAGTTGTGTCGCTGCAGACTTTTTTGGAGTTGAAACTTTTTAAGAAGAAAATTACTTCAACTAAACCAGTAGAATCCATTATGAATAATCGCCTACCAGATATGACTACACATCCTATTAATTTGGAAACACCTATTTTGACAAAAAATTCAATTTTAAAAGAACCGCTCATAGAAGATAAATTTAAAGGAACTCCGATAATTGAAACCGAAAAAGAGCCCTCAAATACTAATACGAACATTTCATTAATGAATAATGAAATTGAACCCGTCAAAAAACTAAACCCAGAAATTGTTACGAAAACTGAAATTGAAAAAATGACCACTAAAACTCCTACAGAGACTTCTGTAAAAGCTGTTAAGTCTTATAACTCAGACTTAATACAGTTCAAAAACAATAATTCAACACAACCATTTGAAATAGTGCCAGGAAATATAATTACTACAAATCAAGAAAACCGCACCTTAATAGAAAATTCACTCAAATTTAATAGAATACAGTCTAAAAATTTAACAGAAAATATTATAACATCTAACACTAACAGTACGTTGCTATGTAAAAAAACTGAACTTTTTACTCCAAAAGGCCTGGAAAAGACTAAAATGAATGGAAATTTACAACGAGAAAATAATAACAACAAAAATTCCGCAATTAGAACTCGGCCTAATGACATTAAAAAACATTTATGGGATAAGAGGTATTTATTGTTTTCAAAATTCGATGAAGGAATCATGATGGACAATGGTAATAAAATTATTATTTCAACAAACTTAAATGTTTTACTTTATTTGACGTTTTTTTTTTTTTAGAATCATTTTATTCAGTATGTCCCGAAATCTTGAGTACACACATAGCGTTAAGATGTCCAGGCCTACACGTCGCTATGGATCCGTTTTGTGGTGCTGGTGGTAACGTCATCCAATTGGCCAAAAGATACAAACAAGTAATCGCTGTGGATAACGATGCTAATAAATTGGAATTCGCGAAAAGAAATGCTGAGATTTACGGAGTCAGAGAGAAGATTACATTTATACTGGGAGATTTCTTTGAAATCGCAGAATCCTTAAAAAAATATAAGCCACAGGTAATAGTGACTTCTCCTCCATGGGGCGGCCCTTCGTATAAGAAACATAAAATTTACAGTCTCGAAAAGCATATGTGTAGCAACTACGAAGGAGGCGGTAAAAAACTCTTCGACCTGTTGAGAAGTATTGCTCCCAATGTAGCACTTCACATACCTAAAACTACAGGTCGAAACGAGGTAAATGAATCAAATTTCTATAAGTAAATCACAATTGTAGTTAATGTCGATCAATTAATTTTCTAGTTGATACAATTTGGCAAACTATTCGATCTAAACATGGAAATTCAGCATAATTATATTGACAATAGATACGATTCCATCACTGCGTTTTTCGGCCGCTTTTTCAATATGAACACTAAATACTTATCCAACGACAATAAACTTTACACTAATAAAAAATTCTTGAAGTATCCAGAATCAGCTGAATACTATTAATGTTAGATATTAATTCACTATTTTTCGATTAAGTACTGCTTTGAATTTTGATTTTTTTTAATTATTGACATTATACTGATAAAAGACACATACAAATTTCGAAATATTCTAATTTTTACGTTAAACATACTACCGATTTTCGAATAAATATAAATACATTATAATTCTTAAATTTTTGCCGCAGCATGCTGTCGGATGACATATTTTACTGAAAAGTAAATTTAAATAATTGTATTTTCATTATATACATTTCATTATAAAACATATAATTTTTTTTATGCGCTTGATTTGTATAACTTGAATTCATTTTTTAATGATTTTAGTTTTATGTTTAATATTTTTACTGTAAATACTACATTAAATTATTCTTGAATTTATTTTGTTGATTATAAATAAGTAAATATATTTTATTTCTTAAAATTATTTAACTCAAAATATTTGTTATATTGTATTCTATAATAAATAATTATTATAAAAAATGAAATGCTTCTAGTTATTTTTCAACAAATTAATTTGAAAATATTTCATTGATTTATTATTAAATAAATGTTTAAAAAGTTGATTTATGTTGTTTAAAAATTATTAAAACATTTTTTAGTGCTTATAGTGGTTTTTGAATAAATTAATGATAATTGANTATTATTAAAACATTTTTTGTGCTTATAGTGGTTTTTGAATAAATTAATGATAATTGATACAAATTAAATAAAATTGTCATAAAAAAAAAGTAAAAGGAAGTGTAGTAGAATTAAATAATTGGCTATATGTGTGATATTTATATTTTTGTCATAAAAAAAACGATGAAAAGATAACTAAAATGAATATGAATATAAAAATAGAGTATAAATATTATGTTTAACGGAGTTTTGATGTTCGTTTAGCTATAAAATGAAAATAAAAGCATACGGTATATTATCATGAATTCTTTGTTACGATACAATGACCATTTATATTTTGTCGTAAAATGTAGATCGCAAAAAAATCACTTCCGTATGACGCACACCTGAGTCATATTAATTCTACAATGAAATGTGCAACGATTATGGAGAAGAATTTTACGACTCTTAATATTTATTGGTTGTACTATAGAATTAAGAAACTGTGTGTGTTTACGTAAATTGCAACTGTTCAGTTGTTGGGCGCCAAGCCTTAATGGCTAAATTGTTTTTTTTATATAGGTGTTAAATTCAAATTAAACATTTACGTTGAACGCAAGCTATTACGATCTCAATGGTGAGTAAATAGTCATATATAATATTTTNCAGTAAATAGCCATATATAATATTTTCCTTTTTTTTATTATCTGTTATTTCCTCGACAAAAGTTATTCTTGATTTACCTTAGGTCTATTTTTTTAATTTTTATGACATGCTTAGAAACATAATTTCTTACCTTGTGTCCAGCTAGCTTGATCGTTTATTGCGTAAAAAAAGGTATACATATAAAGAGAGCACTGACTTTTATCTAGTTATTTATTTTGTAAAATTATGCAAATTATTAAACTTGAAATATTACTTCACNGTAAAATTATGCAAATTATTAAACTTGGAATATTACTTTATATTTATATAGTAGTTCCTTTCTATACCTGGTGTCTGAGTATGTGTGTTACTTTATATTTTAAAATGAAAATTTATATAACCAGATAGATAATGAGAACCAATCCCTAGTTACACGTCATAAACTATTATTTTACGAATAGTTTTAACCGCTTGATGTTCTAGGGTAATGATTTCAACAGACCATCAGCATCTTGTGCAATCAATCAAACACTTATCTATATAAATTTAAGATACACTCTACAATCTCCTTAGTGATATTCCATAAAACATTGTTTTACCAACAGTTTTAACCACTTGATGTGCTAAGGTAGATTTTCAATATTCACTTATTAAATAGACAATCCAATTGAAGAATTAAAAAAAATTCTTGATTGAAACAACTCACAAAATACAAAATAAAAAATTGTCTTAATAATTTATAAATATTTAAAACTAAAAATAAAAAGATAAAAAGGTTAAGTTATTTTTTTAAATTACATTATTTATAAGAGATTTAGATAATAAACACCAAGTGTAAAAAGATTCTAAGTCAGAGAGACCACAATCGCGAAATATTCTGGTTCAGAGATGCTTCATGACCAAATTTTTAGAAAAAATCAAAAGTGACCAATCACTAATGTCTGAGTTGGAAATTCGTTCGCGCCAACTAGATTCCCATGTTACACAATTTCGTGAACACCAACATTCTGTGATTGAAGCTTCGGTTGACCAAGATATGGTTGAAGAATTCGAGTGTATTGATTCTCCAATTACCGATTATGGAGACGCATATTTTTAAAATATATGCAGTATTAACGCCAACTACTTCCACAAATAGTATGCCCACTTCTATAACGCCTCAACCACAATATAACACATATTTAACGAATGTTGATTTACCAAAATTTGATGGTAATCTCGAAAAATGGCGTTCGCTCTATGAAAGATTTGATTCTTTTGTTTCCGCTAGAAATATTAATAAAATCAACCGATTTCATCTATTATTATTATGTTTATCTGGTCCGACGTTAAACACAATAAAATCTTACCCACTCTCTGTCGCTAACTATGATGACGCATGGAGCGCTCTTATGGAGCGGTATGAAAACCAACGACTATTAGCATTAGTACATTTGGATAGGTTATTTTTGTTCAAACCAATAATAACAGAATCATTATCAGCCTTAAATGATTTTATTGATGTTTTCAATGACAATGTAACAGCCATAAAAAATCAAGGTGTGGAAGATTTATCTGGGTTTTTACTTTTTGATATGGGTGCTAAGGTATTAGACGTAGACAACACGCGTCGTTTGTTTGAGGCCACAGTATCGCAATCTACAATTCCAAATATAGATGACCTGATTTCTTTTGTTCGGCAGCGCTGTCGAATTTTAGAAAATATCAAAGGCTACAATACCGATAAGAAAGAACGCGCAAACAGAAATAACATAGGTAACAAATTTTATGCACAACAAAGAACTGTATTAACAGGATCAGCAAAAAACTTTAAAAAATGCCCATTTTGTTCAGACTCTCATCCAGCGTATCGGTGTAATGTTTTTCGATCATATACTACTGAAAAACGGCGTGAAGACGTTGTTAAAGAGAAGTTATGTTTTTCGTGTTTGAGTGATATACATCGCGACGCGGAGTGCAAATCTAAGTTGTCATGTTCGAAATGCCAAAAGCGTCACCATACTTTACTGCATTCTAACATCGTAAATAGTCAGAAATCAGTACCAGTCAGCTCAAATTTCACTATTTGACTATTTATATTCACTCCTAGTACCTCAGAATCAAATGTTCAGGAATTTTGTGGTTTATCGCAGCCAAATACTACCGTAATTTTAGGTACTGCGATTATTCGTGCGCGTAATAGCCGAGGTGATTATCAAACAATTCACGTTTTATTAGACAATGGTTCGCAGGTGTCTGCAATAACAACGCGATGTGCATCTAGGCTTGGTCTACCTAGACGCAAATTTTTACGCAGTATTATCGATCTTGGAAAAAACCCGGTAAATGAATTAAGTGAAGAAACCAGTTGTTTTTTGGTACCGCGACAACAATCGGAGCCAGCCTTTTGTTGCAACGATGTCGTAATATTACAGCAGATAACAACGACAATGCCTACCTCACCACTACCGTCCACCGTTAGCGAGGCATATAAACATTTATTGTTAGCGGATCCCGCGTTCGATAACCTGCACCGATAGACGTTTTAATAGGTGGTGACTTATTCCCGCACGTAATGCGCCCTCGAGGCGGTATTATCCACCACAAAGGCTTACCTTCAGCGATAAATACACATTTTGGCTGGGTAATATGTGGTACATTACACGAAAATTTCACGTCAACTGTACAATCATTATTAGTGACATCAGTAAAATTGGATAATCTAATGCGTTCCTTTTGGGCTATAGAGGAAGCTGCAATACCCACTGAGTCGATAACTGAAGAGCAACGATTTGAAGAATGGTTTTTAAAGACAACCATACGAAAAAAGGATGGACGATTTTGTGTAGCACTTCCATTTCACGACTCTATAGGTAGTTCAAATAGTGCTAATCAGCCCCCTGATACAGCGCCATCGTGCCATGGCCTTGGTAATTTACACGCGTTAGCACTAAAACGCCTTTATAATTTAGAAATGCAATTAATACCGGAGTATAAATGGTCATATATCAACACGGTCGACTATCCCGCGGACCCGGCATCGCGCGATCTACTACCATATAATACCGTATTATGTCAAATTCATAGAGAAGGACAAGCATTTTTACAATTACCTGCTAAACAATGGCCGCGGCATAATTACGATCTATTGAAACCTGAACAATTACCGGATTATCAACAAAGGACAGTAATTCTCACTACCATCAACAAAGAAATCGCCTCCGATCAAATTTTACATCGTTTTTCTGCATTACAAAGAATGCAACGATCACTCGTTTACATTTATCGCTTGACTTTTAAGGCCCGCCGTCAACCCATGCCCACAGGGACACTGACTTATTTTGAATTAAATGCCATGTTACATTAAGCTGCTTTACTAACACAAGAAGGACATTTCACCAATTTAAAAAAACAGTTGCTTAATCATACTCAAGTCACACCAAGTTCTTTCGCTCAACTAGCGCCGTTTATTGACGCGACTGGCCTAATTCGTGTCGGCGGCCGCTTCCGCTACGCGTCATTAGGTCCAGATGCAAAACATCCCATACTGTTACCTAAAAATTCGCATTTTACACGTTTAATAATTCAACACTATCACCATGGTTATTTACATGCTGCACTAAAGTTGATTTTATCATTGATAAGGAGTAAGTTTTGGATTATTTCTGGTCGTATACATAGCGCTTTTTATTTGCATGGCCGTAAATGCACTATACATTGAAATCGTTTCAGATTTAAGTTCGGACGCTTTTCTTGCCGCCCTTGACCGGTTTGTAGCGC